AATTAATGTGTTTTGTACGTAAATGTTGAATAGGATTTTCAGACAAATTAATAGCACAAGAATTATCACACATTATGGAGGATGTGGGACAAACTATACAATAGTAAATTAATGTTTGTTTCATCCATAGAACTTGAGCACATGCAAAACTAGCAGCAATGTATTCTGCTTTAGTTGTTGACAATGATACTAAATTTTACTTTTTGCTAAACCGAGATACAAGTGAATGTCCCAAAAAGTGACACGTACCACTTGTACTTTTCCTATCAGATTTGCATCCATTAAAATCAGCATCACTATATGATATTAAATCAAATGTGCTATTCTTTGGATAAAATAAACCAAAATCTATAGTATCTTTAAGATATCTAAAAATTCTTTTTACTGCTTTAAGGTGTGACTCTTTAGGGTTAGATTGATATGTAGCACACAAACAAACGCTAAACATAATAATGGGTCTACTTGCAGTAAGGTAAAGAAATGATCCAATCATACCTCGATAAAGCTTTTGATCATAATTCTTACCATTCCCATCCTTGTTAAGTGATGTAGTAGTACTCATTGGAGTTCGTTTGCTTGTAGCATTGTCCATCCTAAAGTGTTTGAGTAATTCTTTTGCATATTTGACTTCGTTGATGAAAATTCCTCCCTTTAATTGTTTGATTTGGAGTCCAAAAAAGAACTTGAGTTCATCCATGTGACTCATTTCAAATTCATCCTGCATAGTCTTAGCAAACTCTTGACAAAGATCATTATTAGTAGATCCAAATATAATATCATCTACATATTTTTGAATTACCAATATATCTTTATTTATTTTTTTAATAAATAGTGTAGAATCAACCTTCCTAATTTTAAATCTGGAAGTTAAAAGAAAGTTCTTTAGTCTATCATACCAAGCACGGGGTGCTTGTTTAAGACCATACAAAGTTTTCTTAAGTTTGAAAATATGGTTTGGAAAACTTTCATGCTCAAATCTGGAAGGTTGTTCCACAAAAACATCTTCTTTAATAAATCCATTCAAAAATGCACTTTCAACATCCATTTGAAATAGTTTAAAATCCATAAAACATGCAAATGCAAGAAAAATTCTAACAGATTCTAAACGAGCAACTGGTACATAGGTTTTATCATAATCAATACCTTCTTCTTGATTATAACCTTGTGCAACCAATTTGACTTTGTTTCTAATAACTTGACCAGATTCATCCAAATTATTTTGAAATACCCATTTGGTTCCTATAATGGATTTATCTTGAGGTCTAGGCACAAGATCCCAAATATTATTTCTTGTAAGTTGGTTGAGTTCCTCTTGCATAGTTATAATCCAAAAATTATCTTTAAATGCTTCTTTAATATTTTTAGGTTCTATTATAAAAAAAAAGCAACATGTGTAAATAAATTTAATTGAGATCTAGTTTGAACGCCATGAGAAATATCACCAATGATTAATTCACGTGGGTGATTTCTAACATATACATAAGCTTTTGGTAAAACATGAGTATCATTAGAATAAAAATTCATGAATAAAACATGTATATCTTTCTTTCTACTTCCTTTAAATAAAATATTGGTTAAATTATTATCATAGATAAGGCATGAATCTTTTTCAAAAATAATTTTAAAATTCTTATCACAAAGTTGACTAATACTTAGAAGATTGTATTTTAAACCATTAACTAATAAAATATTATTAATTAAAGGATTGTCAATGTTACCTACTATTTTATTACCAATTACTTGACCATTGTTCTTGATACGAGTCGCCGGGCGAGCACCTTTGATCGCGAAATTGTCAAAGGTGGGTTGAGAAAAGTATGACAGAAACACAAGAATAATTCAGTATGTGACGAGGAAAATTCCCTCTCTAGATTATGATATAAAAATGTTACAACCCCTCTCTCACAATCTCACTAGAGTTAAGAACAAACTCTCAATTCTCTCTAAACCCTAATCTCTCTTGATTAGAATCTCTATTTGATTACATTTGATTCATTAGAAACCCTAAAACAATCCCTTATATAGGTGTAACAACATGGATGACAAAGTGGTAAATAACCAAGCCCAAACCCCACAGGACTCGTGCAAAAAAAAACCCAAATGAACCAGAAAACCATTGATAAGTCGACTCATATGCATATATGAGTCAACTCATGACACATGGGTCGACTCATGAAATGATGAGTCGACTGGTCAGAAACTTTTGACAAAATGGCTGGGTTTTGTGAGTCGACTCATGACAGGCATGAGTCGACTAGTCAGAAACTTCTGACAAAATGGCTAGGTTTTGTGAGTCGACTCATGACAGGCATGAGTCGACTTAACCTAATAAGTCGACTCGTGTGCATGTTTGAGTCGACTCACGGGTTAAAAACTGGATGCTTCAATTCTTTGATTCACCGTCTCGTTCCACGCTTCGACCTGCGTTCCACTATATAGTTTTATACCTCTATTCTCAAGTTACCATGAGAATCATCTATCCTCAAGCTCTCATGAGGATCGCTAAGTTCCAAAGAGAAGATACACCCATATCATGGGTCCCCACTTTAGGAACTTGGAGTCTCATTCAAGTTAGAACTTTAGCTGAGGAAACTCACGAGCTCCTCCATCATTTCTATACCACCTGGCTTTACTAGAAACCTGATATTGACTTATACCTGGAAACGACTCCTTCGTTCCTTGCCTCATCGTAGTCGTCTTCCGCTCCAACATGCAACTCCTTTTCGATGGCTTATCATAAAGTCTAATGCACAGCGAGACGAACTTCTTGCTTGCATTCACTAGCCTCTTAGCTCACATCACCATCACCAAATTTGCCTCCCTCGGAAGAGACGCTGACCGAAATATGAACTTTTCACCATCCTTGATGAATGTGTACTTCTGAGCCCGCCTTTTGTAGATCGCGTATCTATCTCATAATTACGGATTGCCCAGTATAACCTGACAAACATCCAATGGAATGATGTCGCACATGACCTCGTCAATATACAACTCGTGAAGCACAAATTTAACATTATATTGATCAACTATACTTAGTCTCATCTCCTTCTGAATCCACCCAAATAGATAGGGTTTCGGATGCTTGACTGTCTTCAAACCTAGCTTCTAAACCAAGGCCTCGGATATCAAATTCTTTTTGCTGTTTGGATCAACAATGGCATCAACCAAGCTGGTCTTCACTTGCAACTTCAGCATAAAGAGCTGCTCTCGGGGGTCTTCGTCCTCTTTCGTGGCCTGTTTCCCTGCCATAAGATTGAGACTACTGTTGGACTCTATCATCCTAGGAACTTTCTTCGGACCATGTCCTATCACGTATGTCTTTTTCTCCTCTTTCTTCTTCAACCCCTTTGGCATCAGATGAGGATACTTCTCCCAGCATCGATCAGCGATATGTCCTGTCTTCTTGTAGTGACCACAAATCAGTTATGCTCTCCCTGGATCACCCTTCTCTCCTCCTTATGTTTGGAACCACTAGACTCACCTCCTGTCTGTTTTGCATCTCCTTTTGCATCGTTGCTCTTCTTTTGCTTGCCCTCGATGGTAATAGCTTTCACGCTTGCCTCTGCAATAGACTCGACAATGAATAGCTTCATCTCCTTCCGGATGTATTCGTTCAGACACGCCATGTACTTCATGAAGATGGAGTATTCATCCTTCATGACGTTTAGAACCATCACCTGCTACTGGAACTCCGTCGTGTACTCTTGAACGGTCTAATTGAATCTTTGGCGCAAGCCGTACCACTTGTACCAATACTCCTCAAGAAACCCCACTGGATAGAAATGCTTTCTTAGTAGCTCCTTAAACTTATTCCACAACACTGCATTCTTCTCCTGCTAGCAGTAGAATTTCCACCACGTCAACATATGCCCTGAAAGCTTCAAAGTCGCGAACACAATCTTCCCCTTGGATGAATATCCATAGAGATTAAAATACATCTTCATACGCTCGATCCAATCATCGAGCTTCTCCACATTGACACTCCCATCATAAGCAAAAATCTCCACCTTGAAATCAATTTTCAAATTCTGGTAGTAATTTTTACCCTCTTGATGCGAAACAGTTTTGACAATCTCGGTCTACCTATCAGAATCAGATTCCTCGCATTCTCTATCAGAATCCATAAGTTTCTTCTTGCCTTTCGAAGAAGATTCCTTCTTTTTGTCCTTTTCTTGGAAGATATTGACGCGAAGAAGATTCCTTCTTTTTGTCCTTTTCTTGGAAGATATTGACGAGCTGTGTGAGAGTCGAACTCATTGTCTCCATGTCCTTTTCTTGGAAGATATTGACGAGCTGTGTGAGAGTCGAACTCATTGTCTCCATCTGTTTCTCCAATACATCTAGCCTCGCTGAAATATCTCCTTCAGTTATCTTCTTCTTCCTTAATTTCTAGATCCTTTCCAGCGAAATAAGGATCTTGCCTGACTTCTTATATTGCGATTGAGTCAGGACCATATATAGGATGCCCCCTTCATAAGATCTGATAGCTCTGATACTAACTTGATATGAGTCACTGGACGAGCACCTTTGATCACGGAATTATCAAAGGTGGGTTGAGAAGAGGATGACAGAAGCACAAAAATAATTCAGTATGTGACGAGGAAAATACCCTCTCTAGATTATGATATGAAAAGAATACAATCTCTCTCTCATAATCTCACTAGAATCAAGAATAAACTGTCACGATCCTAAATTCCGAACCTAAGAGGAATATTGGAGCCGGACTAAATCTGTGAAAAATCCTCCAGCATACATATTCAATAAAAGGCCATCACAATAATCTCTGCATTGAATTAAAATCAACAACAAATATTCTCTATAATCCCAAAAGTCAACACTAATCCAATTAACTTGATAAAAATAAATATTCCTCCACTTGAAATAAAACTCGACCAAAAAAAAATCTCATAGTTACAAACTCTCAATTCATCAACTAAACATCAAAGACTTTATTTAATCTTTACTTAGAAGATAATAACAATCCCAAAATTTATTCCTTGCTCCGTTCTTAGAATTTGAAAATTCCTCAATTCCACCTAATCCTGAGTCTTTGAAAAGAATGAAAATAACACAATGAGTTCATAACTCAATAAGTGGATAAATTCATACATTAAACACTGATTTTGCAAAACTAAAATATTACAACGAGAGATAAACAAAATATAAGAATGATATAGAATAATTAATGAACTCTAGTATTTGATACACATATTTAAGAAAAATTAGAAATCATGGAATGCAAATAAGCATGTTTCGGTCAACACTTCATACTCTGGTTGACTCGGTAAACCCCACAATTATTAAGCTCGTGGTTCCAGGATAGTGAGACCCAAATTTGGGTTCTTATCACTAAAATAAAACCTCATAGAGGCACATTGAGTCCTGTTTTAATAGCTTGACTATATCTGACATATACCGGTATATTGACTTGAGATGCATATGATTTAAGAAATTTAAACAAAGTTCGTAAAAGTTACACAAAAATGCCAAACGATAACTAATAGTGAAATCAATAAATCACATATGCATCTCAACCTACTACTATATAATAAGACATAACAAGTGATAAAGAAAATATGCATAGACTTATACAAAATAACCACGTGCATTAATCCAATCAATAATTAGTATGTGAGTAACCATACAAAATGGTATAATCCACCAGAAAAAAACTTACATATAGTCAATGTAATTTTATATAAAAAATACGCAGTAAAAAATGTATAAATTCACCACTTACCTTAATCCAACCGACAACCAAAATTCAACTCTCACGACGCTTTTGAGGAGCCACTAGAAATTCCTAAAGAATAAAAAAATTTAAAATAATAGTCAATGGCTTGCAACAATTGGTTAAACACTACATAATTGATTTATTTGGATTTCCCAATCACTTCGAATCTAAGATGCTTACTATTTCCATTTTTTAAAACGCTAATATAATCACCACCTGGGGAAGCCTATAGTTTCTGTCCATGCCATGTTTAAAATCTCTATCATCTCTCTACCTGATGGTACCATTAAACTAGATTTGTGAAAAAAAGACACAATAACTTTATATAGGCTGAAAGAAAATCTAGTACCCAAAAGTTCATAGAAGTAATTCAAAGAAGAGAGGATCCTTCTCATCACTTAGGGATTCACATACAATGCCTATTTCGAAGGATAAAAAAAAACTAAAGACAAATGGTGTAGATCAATGGGGTTCTTCTGGATATACAAACCTGCTTATATGAGATGGAAACTGTGACGGAAAGAAATTTTTTTTTTTTTGTGTGGCGAAATAGAAGACGAGAGGAAGAAGGAAAGAGGCTGACGGGAAGAATAGAAGAGTTGGGTAGGGTTTTCACTATTTATAAGAGCCCTTTTTTCCTAATATAACCCTCTAACAAATTTTACATAAAAACCCTTAAAATTTTCCTCATATAAGTTTTGTCCTCAAAACTTGAACATACCTGAGTCTTCAAATAAATTAGGATATTTTTCCTTCATCTCATGTTCGTGCTCCCATGTAGCTTCTTCGGCTGAATGATTTTTCCATAAAACCTTCACTAGCTTGACCATTCTTGACCTCAATGCTTGCTCCTTCCAGTCCAAAGTTCTAACTGGATACTCTGAATATGTCAAATCTTCCCTGATCCTAATAGGCTCATAATTCAATACATGACTCGGATCAAGTACACACTTCCTCAGCATTGATACATGGAAAACATTATGAATTTTAGCCAACTCTAGAGGCAATGCAATTTTATATGCTACAGCTCCAACCCTCTCCAAAATCTCAAAAGGTCCAATATATCTCGGACTCAACTTGCCCTTTCTTCCAAATCTCATCACTCTCTTAATACTTTAAGGAAAATATGATCGCCGACTTCAAACTCCAACTTTCTTCTTCTATTATCGGCATAGCTCTTCTGCCTGCTTTGAGCTATATGAAGCCTCTCGTGTATCTATTGAATCTTCTCAGTGGTAATCTGTACTATCTCAGGACCGAGCAGCCTTCTTTCTCCTACCTGATCCCAACTAATAGGTGATCTACATCTCCTACCATACAGTGCTTCATAAGGGGACATATCAATACTAGAGTGATAGTTATTGTTATATGCAAACTCCACCAGAGGTAAATGTTTTTCCCAGCTACCCTTCAAATCCAAAACACAAGCACGAAGCATATCCTCCAATGTCTTAATAGTCCTCTCTGATTGCCCGTCCGTCTGTGGATGATAAGATGTGCTAAAACCGAATTGTGTTCCCAGAGCATTATTCAGACCTTGCCAAAATCTAGAACGAAATCTCGAATCTCTATCTGATATAATAGTCACTGGTATCCCATGCAATCTCACAATCACCTTAACATATAATTCAGCAAGCTTCTCAAGAGAATGAGTAATTTTACAAGGCAAGAAATGAGCCGATTTAGTAAGCGGATCAACAATCACCCATATAGTGTCACACTTCTCTGCTCACACTTCTCTTTCCACTAAAACTTGACCCCTTTCTGAGTCAATCGAGCCAAAGGTGTTACGATGTGGGAAAGTCCCTTAATAAATATTCTATAGTAACCACCCAATCCCAGGAAGCTTCGTATCTCGGTCACGGTGCTAGGTCTCTTCCAATCGACAATTGCCTCTATCTTTGAAGGATCAACCGACACCCCTGCTTTAGAAATAACATGCCCCAAGAATGAGACACTCTCCAACCAGAATTCACACTTCTTCGACTTTGCATACAATTTGTGTTCCAAAAGTAATTGCAAAATAGTTCTTCATGTTCCTCCCGGCTTCTAGAGTAGATCAAAATGTCATCAATAAAAACAACTACAAACTGGTCAAGATAAAATCTGAACACCCTATTCATCAAGTCCATAAAAGCAGCTGGAGCATTTGTCAATCCAAATAGCATCACCAAGAATTCATAGTGTCTATATCTTGTTCTAAATGAAGTCTTCGATACATCTTCAGGCTTAATCTTGAGTTGATGATAACAAGACCGAAGGTCAATCTTTGAGAACACCTGGGCGCCCTTCAACTAATCAAATAAATCATCAATCCAAGGCAAAGGATATTTATTCTTCACAGTCACCCTGTTCAATTCTCGGTAATCTATACAAAGTCTCATACTCCCAACTTTCTTCTTCACAAAAAGTACTAGAGCACCCAAAGGAGATACACTCGACCTGATGAACCCTTTATCTAACAATTCTTGCAGTTGAGTCTCCAACTCCCTCATCTCTACTGGTGCCATTCGATAAGGTTCTTTTGAAATCAGCCCTGTTCCTGGAATCAAATCAATAGAGACTTCAACCTCCCTGTCAGGTGGTAGTCCTGGCAAGTCTTCCGAAAAAACCTCAAGGTATTCTCGGTCAATTGGAATTTCATATCATCCAAAATGACTTTCTTCTTCTCGGTACAAACTACACTAGCAAGATAACCCTGACAACCTTTTCTTATAAGTCTACAAGCTCGCATAGCTAAAATAACACATGGAGGTACACTAACACCTGTCCCCTCGAAACAAAACTCGGACTCCCCAGGAATTCTGAATGAAGCTCGATTCTGAAAATAATCTAGATATGCATGATAAGTAGAGAGCCAATCCATACTAAGAATAACATCAGAATCATGAATATCAAGTAACACAAGATTCGCAGGCATGGTTCGATCTCCCACTACGACCTTGCATCCTTTAAAGATGTGATTAGTGATCATACAATCACCGGATGGGAGGAAACTGATAGTTCAGATTCTAAAAATTCTGGTGTTCTGCCCAACTTACTAGCAATGTTATGAGATATAAATGAATGAGAAGAACCAGAATCAAACAACACATGTGCGAGCTAAGAGGAAATAATGAGTGCACCTGTAACAACAGAGTTAGATGCAAGAGCATCATGCTTCGTCAAAGAAAATACTCTCCCTTATGCCTAAGATTTCTGACCATCACCAGGTGTAGGCTTCACTTTCTGATCATCAGTCTTGGGTCCCTTCTTTACTGGACAATCTCTCATAATATGGCCCTGTTGGCCACACTCAAAACAACCTCAGAGTAATGAACAAACACGGCCTTTGTGATTTTTGGCGTATTTATAACACCGTCCATCATGTCTCTGAATAGAAGGACCTGTCCTCTACAAAAATTGCCCCGATCTCTGCACTGGAGCTCCTGACCCTCGAAATGCTAGCTTCTTAAAAGGCTTAAAAGTTGACTTATCTTTTTGATTACTCTCATCCCTTATCTGCTTCTTCTGATCCCAGTTCTTGTTTGGTTCATCTGCAATCTTATCTCCCTTACTAGCTTTTTCAGCCCTTTTTGCTCGCTCCATTGCCTCCTCAAAAGTCTTTGACATGACCACTGTGACCTTCTGATGGATTTTGAGCCTCAGCCCATTCTCAAACATCTCTATCTTATCAAATTCCTCTACAACTAGCTCAGGTACATATCAAGATAATTCATTAAACTTAGCTTCATATTCTTCCACTGTCATGTCACCCTGCTGCAAACCCATAAGTTCCCTCTTCTTGCAAGATCAGACATATAAGGGATAATATTTCTTCCTAAATAATTTAACAAATCTACTCCAAGGAATATCCTCCCCCTCAAGTGATAAACTGGCCTCCTTAGTTTCCCACCAAATATCTGCATCTCCCTCTAGCATAAAGGTAGCATAAATAACTTTTTGCTCCTCTTAACATCCCAAGGCTCTGAAGTACTTCTCTATTTTCTTCAGCCATTCCTGTGCCACCGTTGGATCAGAACCTCCCTGAAAAGATGGTGGAGACATCTTCTTAAACTTTTCAAAGTCACTACCAATAGGTTTAGTCTTCTTTTATTTATGTTACCATTCAGTTATTTGAGTTGTATTTTATTTTGTAAAGGCTATGAGCCTTAGTTACATTTCCAGTTGATTCAGTTATTTGAGTTGTATTTTATTTTGTAAAGGCTATGAGCCTTAGTTACATTTCCAGTTGATTCATGTCGAGATATTTTACATTATTTATTTTGTAAAGGCTATGAGCCTTAGTTACATTTCCAGTTGATTCATGTCGAGATATTTTACATTATTTCATAGATCAGGTGTTTATAGTTTTATTCATTTGAAACATGGTTTCATTTATGAGATTTTATCCTTCTATACCATGTCTATTATATATATTTATCTTATTTTACTTGTTTTGTACCTACGCTTCTTTTTTATTTCACTAGAGGATATTAGTGTGATTGGTGAAACGAGTTATTGGACAGTGTGAATGCATGACACGTTTGACATCCTTGGATTTACCTTGGACTGCAGCCATGTGTAAAAATAGGGGCGTCACATGACTACACTCCGTGTTACATTTTTACTGAGGTTGATGAGAGAGTTAGTCCGATGAGCCACTTGACACTGTGGATGACTACACTCTACGGTGCATAATACTCCGTAGGTTGCCCTAGTGGGTAGTCTGTCTCACATGATGATGCGATGAGGCCGGTGTGCCTATACTCTGTAGGATATCCTAGTAGGTATCTGTCCCACATGATGATGCAATGAGGCCAGTGCACCTGTACTCTATAGCATATCCTAGTTGGTAGTCCATCCCGTATGATAATGTGATATGCCACAGGATTTGATGAGTGACAACACTTTGAAATAATTGTTCGCCTGAGTTTCAGGCGGATACTATTTATGGACGTTGTCAATCATTGAGGTATACTTTACGACGATGAATATCTTTGGTAATGATTGCATAGGGTTGTGTACTTGCTCACGTGCTACCTATCCGAGGGTAGTGTGAGATACTGTGATATGACATGTACGACATGTTTTTGATGAGACGTTGGAGATGTACTTCTCTGTTGTTTGTTTATAGGGTTTTGGAGTTGGTATTTAGTAATTCACAATTTGAGATACGTAGTATATATATGAGGGTTTTCTTATTTGGATTATTCTCTCGGTGTACTCATCTCGTGTTGTGGATTTTTAAATCTTAACTCATCTTAGCATAGG